TTGCAAGAAGCAGATAAATAACTATCCATTATCGCGTAAAATAAATTAAGAGCTTCCACTGCAGCGGAAAGTATGGAATTAAATATTTATGTGAGAAGAATAAATGTTTTTTTGGGGAGATGCTTAGTGACCTCGTATGTGATCAAGTCGAAACCAGGAGATTTTTAGTGGGAAATGTAGATATGCAATATTTAACTTCGGCTGGAGAGAAGGATTTTGGAGGTGGTGTCAATTAGAGTGGGGATAATAAGAAGTTTTGTATTTTGCCTATATTAATAATTAAACAATTGTAATTAAACATAATTTCACACTTTAAAGTTAAGTTTACTCGAAAAACCACTAATTTTTTTTTTTTTTGTAGTTTATTTTATATTTTCTCAGACCTATTATTAAATTGATCTACTATACTTTAAGATGCTTCCAGACGCTTGCATAAAAATCAGGGCGATACTGTGGTTGAATATTCTAGCGGTCCACCATGTTGGGTTGCGAACGTTTTGAAATAAACTTAATGAGGTTTAATGGGAAAAAGCATAATATAATGGTGTCGGATCTACATTAAGAGTAGTTCATACACAGTATTATTATTAAGAGCTTTTCGTTGCGGTATATACTTTTTCGCGAGTACACTTATCATTTTCATTTAAAATTCACAAAGTCTAATGCAAATACTTAGTCATAATAGTGACAAACAGAAACTATAATGTTTTTTTTTTCTCTGCGGGTTTTATAATTTATTTTAGTTTTGTTTTGCCCCTCTCTGATTTGACCGCATAACCAATTAAATATTAATATAAACGCGTTTTAAAATTATTATGGATACTTTGTAATGCTAACCATGTTACAGTATGCATACTGGAATGTTCAGTATTTAGATGGTTTCAAATTCAAATGTAATTTGTAAATGGCGCCTAAAGTACAACTTTTTTATGTTTTTTTTAGATATTCGATAGAAAACACATTTATGCTGGCAGCTATAATATATACCTACTACTTTGGTCTATTTCAACTTCTAAATCACTTTATGTTAATACCTCTTATCCAAATTTTAATTTAGAGTTCCTCCCACCTTTCGAAACAGTCGAAACCTTTTTTTATCTATTAACGTCTTATTATGTATATTTATTTTGTAAATATGACAATTTATTAACTTTGATTTCCAGTAATACTTATATCATTTTACATTACCAATGATACTTTGTTTAAAAATGAACTAGTTGTAGCTACTCAGCAAAAGTGTGACACAAAATTTAAATGTATTTTCCTCCGTATAATCCTCCTAAAAATAAATTTTATGTAAATTTAGATACCAAAACAAAACGGATTTTCAAAACTAATTTTATGTTAATTAAAAAGATAACAGTATTTCGGCACACATTTATAAATTCTTCCTCCGTAATTATTTGCAAACAAATATTTTTAATAACATTACAACAGCCTAAAATAGATGGAATATGTTATATGTTATATGTCAGGTCAATAAACTACCAGTATAATTTGTAGACTGTATTCTCCAGGACGTTAATTTTATTTTATCGTATTTATTAGTCTCGAACCAAATTTGACCTATACACGTTTATAATCTTGATTTGGCTATCTGTATTAAAAATACGCCAATCAAAATAATATATTCTAGGTAAAATGACAAATTTGATACTTATGTCGCTTTTTGTAACTTTCGGGAAAAAAAACTTTAAGTTAATTTAAGATACTAAAATACTAAAATGTTACAAACATACTCCTTATGATGCCATTTAAAACTTTTTTTTTTTTGTTTTTTATTTAGAATTTGTACAATCTGTAATAAATGTAATTACAATAAGAACAAAGGATAAATTACATGGTAGGCAAATATATAATAATACATTGATACAGTAGACTTGTTAGAAGAGGCCAGCCAGAGCTGGTACTTCATGACGTGTGAGATCGTGGATTAGTCAATCAATAGATCGCGACACCACGTTCGCTTTAGGCGCCTTCTGGGGTCACCAGGGATCCATTTATAACTAAACCAAAAAATTGATTCGTGGTTAATATATTCATTGTATTTTTATCCCATTAACCAATTCATATTTTGATAACATTGTCTTTTTTTCCCTCTAGTAAGGGTTTAGCCAACAAAAAATATACGTGTTGGCTTATTGTTAATAATATTATTTTTTTATTTTTAGATTCGATGTGAAGCTGAGAGAACATATTGGTTTTGTAATAGTTTTTGTTTTAGAATTGTTTTAATATATATTGTGTTTTTATGTTGAATATTAGATGTTGGAAATTGTGAATTAAGAACATTATATTTTTTTAAAAATATAAATTATTGTTTTTACAACAACAAGCTTAAAACTTTTCAGTTATGTTTTTAAATTACATATTGTCGCATAAAGATATAAGCTTTGATTTTTTAATAATATGAACATATAAAAAGATATTATCTTCCTATACAACGTACGCTCTATCAAATTCCGGTCTACGGATGTCAGATACACTGATGGAAAACTGAACCTTACACGCGTACCAGGGATCTGTTGAAAATAAGATTCCTAAATCCTTTATGTAATAACGCATTATTATTGGATTTTCGCAAGACCGTATTGTGTATGTTTAACATGAAAGTTTTATATACTTAAATTATTTTTATATAATTTTAATGCATTAATATTCCTTAACAAATACCTATCGAGCTTCACTTCGAAGTTTAAAGTTAATTAATATTATGTATTAATACATTTTTTTATGTTTACAAATACGGCCAGAATTTTTATATAAAATATATATTATATATAAAAGAGTTTATAAAGTCTACTGGTAGGTTCTAACCTATTATCCACAGATTTGCATCAAATTTCTCACTTTCAGTTATAATAATTCCTGTAGGCCTGTGACCTTCCCGTCCCCACTATGCTCTGACCCCACTGTACTGGCTTTTTATTAATTTATTTACATAGTTTATAAATCCAAGTAAAACAAATTATAAAACAATCTTTGGAGAAACATAATATAGATAATTATTATTACTATGATTATATTAAATGTATTATTAGTAGGTATAGATTTTTATTGTAAGCTCACAATAACAAAACAAAAATTTAATTTAAACTTTATTAATCTTTTTTTTTTTTTACATAATTATTTTGTTTAATGCATCAAAGACTTCACAACATTTAGCTTTTTTTTTCAACTAACAGTTTAACACCAAGTCGCTGTAACAAAAACTAATATCTTATACTATGTTCTGTACGATTTTTGGTTTTAATTTAATTTAAATATTTTTTATAAAGATCAAAGCAATAAGCTTGACAGAAAAATGTTGTTTTAAATGAAAATACGCTATATTACGCTTTGTATGACTTTTTGTTCAAATAATAATTAATTTAAGCTTTTTGTGAGTTTCTTTCAGTTCATTCAGTGTTATTATAGACTGTATTATTGTCATCGACAACTATAAATTCTTTGATGATTACTCCAAGTAAATACTCTGCCGACGAAGAAAAACTGATGCATTTATTTCTGCTCTTAGAAAAAAAAAACAATGAGTGTTTATTATCGTTTGTTTTTCGAATTAATTCATTTAAGTTTAAAAACAATAAAATAACTAGATTTCATTTTTTCGGTCTGATGGCATTTTTGTGTATGTGATTCGGGGTTTGTCTATTTTCCCTATTGTTGCATCGTCAATGCGTGTCTTGACTTAAATTATACTTCTTACACGGACCACTATGTACTGAACAAATTCAAAATAATTTTGTGTTTTAACCGTTTGATTCTGTCGTGTACGTTAAACATTATTATTAATTCGGCTAAATTTTGCACCCTACTATATTATTATCAAGTAAACAACCTTCTTATACTTACACAACTGTTAAAATAGTTTACGTGCTTAACCATAATTTTTAGGTACACATTACATACCTATATTTTCTTAGAGTTTACCTCTCTTGAGTACTATTATGCTCGGCCGGCTTGTCTAAAAGGTTCTAGTCACGAATAATGTAAAATGACTACTATTATTATTACTACACATAATATTTACAAACTTGTTTTGTACGAATCGATTTTTATTTCGGTTGGCCAATCACTGCACTAGTATTAGCGATCCCTTTTGAATTGGAACCCAGTCGTAAATGTTATTGGCCTACAGGATAGGTGTAATCGTTTCACATGTTATTTTTATGTTTTTAAAAGTCTAAGATCTACTACACTTTCTGTCATTTTGTTGGAACAATATATTTTAGAAATTATTTTACCAGTAATAAATTAGAGTTATAGAAGAATTAAATACCATATCATAACCATTCGAAACAGACATAAGAGCTACGGGTTACGCATAAAGTTTTTTAATACCTTTCTATTGTAGTGTTAAAAAAGTTCAGTTGACTTTTTTTTGTATGTACAATGGTGAAGAGGTGGTAAACACGTAAAGAGGTATTTTTTTTTTACAAAATCGTCCACTGTAGTACAAATTATTTTACAATGTACATAAATAATGCTTGAGAGGTGGCTATTTGTATATGTGGCGCTAAACCTCTTATAGATTCCCTAGTTGCATTAACGCTTAACAAATATATATATATATTATGTATATGACATAATATATCATATTATTTCCACGTGTGCATATATATAATACATGATGACTAGATGCTATAACTATTTATATTTATTACAATACATACACAATTAAAACAGATCCTAATGATAATAATAATTAAATAGAATATTATGCAACATAATAATAGGCTACTATAAAAAAATAATAATGACACTAACACCTAAGCTTGCACGGTAATAAGTCTAAAAATGTAGCGAATTTACAAGTGATCTACTGGTTGAGTTGAATCCATGCTTAAATAATGATGTTTTATAGTAATATATTTATATATATATATATACTTATATATGTATATATAAAAATGCCGTTGACCTAAATGCGCTAAACGTGTAAATGACTATACAATATACCGACTACAAGCGACATTTTTTTGGTTTTTATGTAAACTTACTGACGGCAGTTAGAAGTGGGGCAGACACACTGATTGTAGTACTTTGCCACCAATTTCCCATACTTGTCCTGCGAATCTGGGGAAAACAATTTTTGTGTACAACTGATTTTTCTAAAAATAATAACATTTTAAATTATAAACAATAGCATGTAATTTCTAACATCTATATTTGATAAACATTATGGCGATTAACAACGAGACCACGTAAATATTTCTTATTTTAACGCGTCGAATCAGCCAAAAAAAAAAAAAAAATGGGACATTTTAGGTCATCGCAGCTTTAGAATAAAATCATAATTGTGACTGTTGGAACCAATTTACTTGTATACAAATGAATGTGTAAATAATTTAGGGTACAATTTCAAATACTTGTATAGACAAATGCGCTTTTGTAATACAGACAATAAAAGAAGTCCAAAAAATGTAGGCAGTCAACTGAAAAGTAACCATGTGTTAATAAAATGCCTTCTTGTGGGTGTTTTCGGAATGGTTATGAAAACAAAAAGTCCGAACAAAAGTGTATTCAAAGGATTTTTAATGAACGGATTCTTGTACTTGTACTCTTCCATTTGGAAAGTACTTTTAAGTACCCCATTAGAGCAGTTACTAAATGTTTAATGTTCTCGGAGTACAACAGTTTTTTAATGGCCAATTACAACTGTTTTATCCAATTGTTTAAGATTTACTTTGTTTTATGTTATGTTCAATAAATTAATCACAGATATATATAATAAACTAGATTGCTAACTAGCGATAAGAATTGAAGCCGACGGTCCGCCATTCTGGTGGGATTTATGTGTGTTATCATTGCATATAATATATATCTGTATATATTATTATATCAATAATATATATATATATATGATTGTTATAAACATATATTATTCTCGCGTGATAAGGTTCTAATTCCCACCAGGATGGCGGAAAGTGGCTGCTTGAATCTTCTCTATTGGTGGTATATACAGTTAGCAATCTAGTTTATTATATATATCTGTGAAAATAATAAACTTTAAATCATTTTTCGCTTTACTACCTGATAAGTTTGGATAAAAACTGTATCTTTTTTTTAATATTTTAAGCATTTTAAATCCGGTACTTATATCGGAATTTATGATTTATTCTGAATTTCTTCAAATCTGCAATTATAGATGTCATTATAATTTGTACTGACAGCTGAACTTATTACTCTTCTCCCCCATTTCCAACTTCATGTCTGCAGACACGTACAAAACGCAAAAGCACAAGAAAATCATTACGGAGACTCCTACAATTAACATCGTGTGTAATAACCATAGTGCTATCGTCGAAAACTCAACACATAATATATTGAATTGTCCGAAATTAGTTGAAAATTCCAACTAACGATTTTTTGCTAACTCAGAATTGTATTCTATGCTTTTTGTACTAGGAAAATTTTACAAATTGCTCCGGTTTTATAATAAAATCGGCTATAATTTGAAAAGGCGTTTATTTGTAGTCTAATTACCCATGTTAAGCTGTACTTATACGACCTATTGTAGGTTGAGAAATTTAACTGAATCCATCGTACGAGTATAGTTTCAAATATCGATTGTCAGTAGGAATTGGATTCGATCGACTGTATAAAGCCTACATTCTAGTAAGTACAGTTTTTAGTATCCGCTCGAGAATTCCGCGGAAAGGGCAAACCGTCTCGAGTTAATAACGTCTGCCCATGAAAATATTCCACAGATCCCTAGCGACATAAATCTGTAAGCTGCTGCGGGTTTTAAGTATAACCCTCAGGTTTTTCATAGATATCCAACCTCGGATTTCGAAGTCTAAAATCGGTTTACGGCTAATCTTATATTACTTGAGAGAATGTCGCAATTATTATATACAATAATATCATATTATCCGCGGTATTAAGCCTAGAAGTCACTTTCTATGCATTGAATAATACCTTCTATACAAATTTCAGAGACTTGTCATGACGTAACTCAACATCAAGATCATTGTGTGAATAATAAGGTCAACTTTGGAATAGTGTCCAAGAGTAATACCTGTTGTAATTACTATTTCAGTTGCAATATTTACTCACATTGTTGTATAATATTGCGGCTTAATTATTTTTAACAAAAACTACGAGAAGAAAACTATAGCATTTAAAATATAAGTATGATAATTGTATTATATCTTATAAACAAAATATATTGTATTATAGTTTGAAATATATAGCTGTACACAATCTTTCAATTTATCAAAATTATTTAGTAAAAACTTTGAAAAAAATGGCTTCTGCCAAAATTACTGTGCCAAGGCCAATTTACAAAATACACATCCCACATAAACAAAAGTAATTTTTAGGGCGAGGGAAACACTTAAAATAAGTTTACAACGGAATAAAAAAACTCCTACTTCTTCAACTCTACATTCGAGTAAAATATGAAAAGCTGGCTATTTTTAACTACAAATAATTTTTATAACAGTTAACAATTCACACTTGACATTGTATATAAAATAACTTAAAATTTGTACACCTAACCTTTCGGGGTGTCTATAATTAAAATAAAAAATTCATAACTTTTCAATCATTAAAAAAAGGAGTTACACTTTATTCTATAACCATATCATTATGATTATTTTAACGTCAAATTCTTACGATCTCTTTACCTGTTAATAATTATACTGTTGCATTAAGTTAAACTTTTGAGTACGCGGTTTCTGGAAAAAATACCTCGTTTATTTATTTCTCGTGGGTTTTTAATGTATTCCGATACTATAATATAAACCGTGCACAGTTACTGCAAACAGTTTTTTCAGTTTGTTTGGAATCTATGGGTATGCCGATAAATATATAGCTAACGTGATCAGATAAAATAATTGTTGTAAAAAAAGTGTGAAATATTAAAGACTTTATTTGTGATCAATTACCGATCAAATTTGTATAATATTTCATAGGTGTAATGGTATTTCAAGAAAACGTTAAAACAATTTGAACAGTTATATTTAAACCCCTTGGAAATGTCAGTGTTTATTGTCACTCTTGATTTAATATGTTCACAAGTGACAAATGATCCTTACAATTGACATATTTCTATGATTTGTGCATTATGCTGTCTTATAATGCATAAAATATAAACGTCATATTTTGCGTGACAGTTAATTAGATATAATAATTAATTAAGTACAGCGTACCATTCATCTGGCGCGACATAATTTGATGGTACCAGTCAAGTTCTGTATAATACTTGACTAATAAAACAACGCGATTAATTATCTACAACTGTTATATTATTTTATTTTAATAGTATTTTAAGTTTTCCCACAGTCGTCGTATTATGTTCACATATATACATTTTTCTCGCAATTAGAAACGTGAACGAAGCATAATATAAATTTAAAAAAATATTTTTGGCAAATACAGTTAACGTGCTCTAAAATTATAATTTATAAGTTAAGTAATAACTAATGATGAAGCCCGTTTTAATAATTATTATTTTTATGATGAAAACTATACTAATAGATTATTTGTGCAACGTTTAATTTTATGTGAACTGTTTGAATGAAGAACACCCTAGTATTATATTATTTATTGACCAATCACCAGGAATGACACATTTTAATATTGTTTTATAATAGTGGCATTCAAACATGGACAAGAATATTACTAACAAGTACGACGCGTCGTCTGTTCCGCAGAGAAATTTGCATATTTGATTTGTATTTTTATTTGTTTATTATTAATGTTTTACATTTGTGTGAGCGACAGTAATTGGACATTTTGTCGAGAAATTGTACCGGCTAATTTGTATGCTAGTCAAACTGTTACCAACTCCACACCCCCCCCCCCCTACATCAATATAAGCCACTGCTGGTTCCAACATACATTATCCTCCGTGATCGTTTATACACAGTTACACATCGATATCGAAGAAAATATAAAAGAAAATCTTCCTAACGTGTTTTGAATATCTAGTAATACAAAATGGTTTGTCTGCTTTTTGAAACAATTTTGTACAAAGAATATTGTATAATGTGTAAGTATCCTTTTTGTACACATTAAAACTTAACAATGTGCGCAACGTGCATACTGTCAACTAAACAACTTACGACCGATATCAGATTTCAAATAATTCTGTACTCTCAGAACCGAAAATCTAAATTATATAATATTATATTGTACTTATTTTATAAAAGTATAATACAGTATGCTGTATAGGATTCCTTATAAATATTGAATGGCGCAATAGAATACCATTATCACAATTTCTAGCTAGTGTTTTTTTTTTCAAATTAAAAAGTTATTTTGACGTTAAAAGTGCCTGGGTGGACTTCTGCAGAATTATATACCTGTATACAGAGTGTTTCTCAAAGATATGACAAATGATATAACTTTTGTTTTAGGGAATATTTTTAAGCACTTTTGTGTTTAATTAATTTATACTCATGTGCGCTATAAAAACATAGCAGTAAATACAAGCAATAATTGCTCTTAACTGTTTCACTTTGTTTTTTTAATTTAAGATATCCATTTCATTCAAAATAATTTTCTGAGAATTTTGACTGGTCGATAACCAGTTTTGGACAATTTTTTTAAGTTATTAAAGGTTAAAATTTAAGACAGGACATGAAGTGTGTCAGAGTAACCGCGTTTTTTTTTATCAGCGGGAATTACTCTACCGCACTTAACCTTCAGTCATAAACTTTCAACCTGAATGACTTTAAAAGTAATTATCCAAAATTGGTTTTCGACAAACCGAAATTCTTAACAAATTATTTTTAATAAAATGGATATCTTAAGTTTAAAAAAAAATATTGTTTTATAAATAAATTAAAACAAGTAAGAGCAATAAAAACCGTGTTGTTGATAGCGAAATAAGTATAAATTAATTAAAAACCCAAAGTCTTTGAAATATTTACTAGAACAAAAGTTATTTCGTTTGCTATATCTTTGTGAAACACCCTGTATATGTTATATATATATATATATATATATATATATATATATATGTGTGTGTGTGTGTTTTATAGACATGTATTAGTATAACTTGATATATAACTTAAAAGTTCTCATAAAATGTTGAATGTGGTTCTATTTTGAAATTAATTTAAGTAACAAAATACTTTTTTGTTTTATTTTATGTTGTCCA